CATATTCATCATGCTTTATACAATAGACCAAAAATTCAACCACTGGTCTTGTGAAGAAAATTTTCTCCAACAAATTAAACACTACAGTACAACAAAAAYCACACCTAAGGAAACTTCAAATTKAATAACAGTYGAATCGCAATACACAATATATGATTTAATCTCTAATTATTTGAATTCACAACATGCATTTAGTAAATTATAACCACCTACATATGAAAAGTGTACCATGAGCACAAAGGAAGGATGTAGAAAATGGGACACAACAAGCAAATAAACAAAAATATACRACTACCATACCATGTGTCTTGCACCTCCCAACTTGTAGATTCTCAAATGTTGCACATAACCTTGATGGTAAATMTTTTWAAGCTTCCTTAGCATCCTCTAGTTCATCCATTCTCAGCATGTATGGTGTAATGATGACATATATGTTCAATATCTCCACGATTGTCTCAAAAGCTGCTATATTCCATCAACTAAAAAGGCACATAAATACTAAAGTATTAACAGTGATGTCTAACATCACCAAAATACATCAAAATCAATTTATTAGTAAGTTGAAGAGACAATTTCACCATGTACATTATATTCACAAATTTTCAAAATCTGGCAATAAAGAGGAAAACATTAAATTTCATTCTAGAAAACAGGCMTTTTGAATGCAATGCAAACAGTTCAAAGCTACGCATAAGCAATATTTAAGATCATTTGGTTTACAAGTGAATGATGAGAACAAAAGAAAAAGGTAACAATACCACTACACCGTTTATCAAATGCAAACCAGGTAAGCACTTATTGGCAAGATACATCACCCTTACCTTATTGTGTATCGACCATCATAATGGATTGTTGGTTAGTGGTTTAAACCAGGTAAGTTCTTAGAATTTTATCATAATCGACCATCATAATGGATTGCCACGATGAATTTCCAATTTTATCATAATCGACCATCATAATGGATTGCCACGATGAATTTCCCTTAAAATTTTATGGACAAAAGCACTCAACCCTTCATATGAACTCATTGTAAACTCAAACTGATATCTAAATGGTAATAAACCATACAAAATCAATAGACAAGACATCTTAATGTACTTATAAAACAATAATAGTGAGTTGTTTAGCTGTTACTTTTCTGGAATTAGGTTCCAGATATAATAGAGCAAACAACAAGCGTACTCGAAATATACTTGATACACTATGAATGCTATGATTTAGAGTTGGTAAATGGAAAAAAGCAGGATTACCGAGTCTATGGCGACCGAGAAATGATTTTCCTCCCCACAACCAGTCCTGCAAACACATATCAATCACATGAATGACCATATGCAGAATCTTATGACAACATCAAATATCAACATGTATTATCTAAACCATATGCACCTACCTATATCATAACTACCTTTTCCTAAAGCAATAATCAAAGAGAACAAATCATCCAAGTTTCTCACATCTTTGCAAAGATTAACAATAAGTGAAGCTTCTATTGACGGAGTTTTAATGGCTCCACGCTCTTTAAGYCGATCCTTCAAACCCAGAGGATTAGTATAACAATTTAAAATCCTCAACCTGTCCAAAAACAAAAACAAATTTCTCAACGTGAAGGAAGCAATTTCATTTTGATATGTGCTATAAAAGCTCCATCATGTCCAATAYTGACTGTTAATTTGAATTATTGCCTCATTCTATGCCCTATTTCTYTGAAATGAAAAACAATCTTAGACAGGAAATAATCATCAATGTAGCAAAAGACTCCTAGATCGAGGAGGGATGGAATGAACCCTAACCATTTACATAATCATAGTTTGGACCGATTACCTAGATTGAGGAGGGATGGAATGAACCCTAACCATTGACAGAACCAGAGTTTGAATCGATTACCTGGATCGAGGAGCGATGGAAGGATCGAGGAGCGATGGAAGGATCGAGAAATCGAGAAGCGTTTGAATAGAGCTTTGAATCATAACCAGAGTTTAAATCATGGAATCCAGCAGAGTTGGAATCGTCGTTTTGGGATGAGAGATGGAGTGCACTCGAGGATGGGAATCGTCGGTTTGGGGAGCGTGAAGGACTGAAGTCTGAAAGAAGAAGGGGAGGCGTGTTGTGGAAGATTATATCTTAAAATAGTGTTGTCAGTTTATTTTATTAAGAAGAGTATTTTGGGTATTTACAATATTAAGACTTTAAGGCTTTGAGTGAATCGGTTTAATAAAGTAGTATATATATATATATATATATATATATATAATGCATTTTTAATCATCATATAAAAAAAAGAACATAT